GATTGAAAGGCCCAAGATTTATTTTATAGTGAGAGACATGAAAACATCGCGAAGATTGAGAGTGCTAGGTTAACATTTACCATAAGTGGATTGGTAGTGATGTTTCTGAGGGCCAAGATGTTCAGGAGGGTGATGAAGACCTAATGCTGCTGGGAAGTCTCCAGTATTGACTCATCTAAATCAACGCCTTCATATCCAATTATCAAGCAGCAGAGGTCTGTACTGTTGCTGATTCTGTCCACGAAGGTGAAGTCTAAATAATCTCTGGGGCTTGGTGATTTGTCCCATAGAATGTGGCACAAATACAATAAGACGAGAAGAAGATGATATCACTACATCCCTGAACCCCAAAATAACTTTTTGGAGTTAGGTACATCTCGAAGAATGTCCAAATCTTAGAAAGATAAAGACATGATGAGATCGAGAATGACTTTGATGGTGGCAATGAAAACCAGAATGATGGACCAGATGGCTCATCCAACGGTGCCTGCCATCAACAATGTAGCTTTGACCTCGACGGCTGGACCTGTTGGATAATTACAAAGGATGTACACTACCATAGTCTCCAAGGCAACACTGATGGCAAAGAGACCACGTGAGACATCCCAGAATCAGATCAACATGGAACTTCCCAAGCCAACTCAGACGATTACCAATTGGCTAACATTATAACAGATTCCAGTGCTCAAACACCACTGCTAGGATATGGTAGTTCAATGGAAAAAAGACTGGACCCCATTTACTATTGCAAATAAGATCAGCTGAGGTAAAGCCTCACACTTTTATCGAAACGTAAGGAGGAGGTCCAAAGCCTGTAGGTAGGTTAGCTGGTGTCAAGAAGAAACGATCAGGGCCCAAAAAGACCACAAGACATTCATGTCTATCAAATGAAAGATAATGGTGGCACTGAAAGCTCTGCCGATGGAATTAAGATGAGTAGAGTAAGGCCGCAACCATTTTCTGTGGTGAATGTATATTTAGTATATACTAGCTAAAGCCAAGAAGAACCTGGTAAGAGCCCAAGATGATATTACAACATCCATGACCACCAACTGCAAGATGATAGTGACACTGAAAACTCATTTGGTAGGGTTAATGTGATCAGAGTGGAGCGTCGACCACTTCCAGGGATGAATGTATATTTGGTATGTATTTGATTTATCATAATTTACAATTCTATTGTTTTTAATTGAAATGCTTTCTGCCTCCAACACTTATGAGTGTGTGTGGAGGACAGGAGATTAGCAGTTTTTGGATTTTGGGTTTATTATTATTATATTTTACATAGTGATGTGTTCTGGCTCTTTCATGCATGCTATGATGTGTAGAAGTGCAGGAATTTAGAAGTTATTTTTGTTTGTATGGCAAAGACCACAAGGAGATAAACACGGATTTCCCTTCCAGGCCACCTATGGTGACTATCAACTGGCTCACATTAGAGCATATTACAATGCTTAAGCACCAATACCATAAAATGACAGCTAAATAGAAATATCACTGGGTCCTCTACCACTGGAAAGAAGATCAGCTGAGGGAAAGGCCCACTCCTTCATTCAAATACAAGGAGGAGGTCCAAAGTGATTTGACCCATCATAGAATGTGGCACAAACACAAGAAGAAGATGGCAGATGTGTTTGCATCTTTGATGAGATCACTACATCCCTAAGCCTTTTCTTTCTTTTCTTATTTGGTTATACTTTTTTGCTTAAGTGGCAATGTACTTGCACATCGTTTTTCAATGTTAATAGGTATTGATATATTTAGTGTTAAAGAGTATTCTTATGTATTTCATTGTTAAAGGGTCGTTTTATTTTTGCTTTGTGCTAGGTTTCATGTTATTTAGATTCAAGTTAAAAGATTACTTAATAATAATAATGTTATTGTATTGTATATATATATATATATATGCTTAAAAATCCACAATTTGCTCATGCACGTAGATGCACACGAGCAGAAAATGGTTATTTTTTGATATCCCGTATTTTTCAGTTAAATGATGATATCTTATGTTAAAGAGCTTAATTTTCATTTAATGTTAAGAGTAAAAAAAATAATACACAAGAAAAAACTATTCATGAAACTAAACTAAACTCGAAACAAATCAGAAGAGAAACCTTTTAACATATATTTAACACATTTACTTGGAACTTTAACAATGATTTACACTGGTTATGTCCTGCTTCCTCACGTGAAAAGGGCATTACAGCACAATAGTCCCTTGCATGGCAAACACAAAAAAAAATCAAAAATATCCATGACATTTAACCTTACTACATCTTCAAAAAAAAAAGAAGACAATTTTAGTCAGTTGTTGTTAATCACAAAGCTACACAATGCTTATCTGTGGTCTGCCCACCATAGGTATATAAACCCGATATTTAGCATTTTAAGTCTATATATTTACTGTTAAGCCACTGGGAGGCATAAAAAAAGAAATCACTCAATAAAAGGATAAAAAAGACAACTACATAAAAGCTAAAAACCCTATAAAGTGTATAGCGCATCCTTGCATTTAGTTTCTTTCTTTCTTTCTTTTTCTTATTTAGTTATACTTTTTGCTTATGTGAGAATGTACTTGCACATTGTTTTTCAATGTTAAAAGGTATTGATATGTTCAGTGTTAAAAGGTATTCTTATGTGTTTTGTTGTTAAAGGGTCATTTTATTTTTGTATTGTGCTAGGTTTCATGTAATTTAAATTGAAGTTAAAGAATTACTTAATAATAATTATTCTTTTATGTTAAAATAAAATTTCTTATGTTTCATTTGAAATACCTTTACGAGGTTTCTATTTGAATATTTTATTTTGACACAATTTGTATTGTTTTGTTCATTATCTTATTTGATATTTTGAACTTAGATTAAAGAACTTGATCAGTGTATAATGTATTGTCATGTGTTCTTGAGTGTAATTCAAGAATTAGTTTACATTAATAATGTGCATTTTAATATTGTGGTTCAATTTAGCAATATTAAGAGATGATGTTTTCCAAGTTTTTGATAAATCTTGTTAAAGGGATATTTATGTATCTGTGGTATATTGTAGATCTTTGTTAAAGGGTTTGTGTTGTCTGTATGATGTGCAAGTGTTCTTGAATAACGTAAAGTGCTCCTTGGCCATGTTGTGAGATTAAATATGATTTGTTTTAAAGTAAAATTTAATTGTTGGCTTGAAGACAAGCCTGAAAGAAAAGGGGAAGGAAAAGTGTGATATACTGGCATATCGTATGTTTTCTACTTTCTTTAGTGATATAAGTATTATGTAATTTCTGTGATGTAATGGCAGGAACACGTGGTCTAGAATATTGTTAAGATTATCTTGTTTTAATTCCTTTATTTCTTTGTTCTATAGTACGTGATTCCTCTTCTGCCTGATTGCAGTAATAAACAGAATCCAGGTTAAAAGGATTGGCACTACAATATACTCTAATGTGCAATTTGATGGTGATTTAATCTAACAGCTGACCAATGATGACAGGGAACAAAAATCACAATGTGACACTGTTACTAGACAACCTGTTGATTTCAGGTACAATTTCTTTGGCTAGTTTTATTACAACGTGCAGAGTATTTTTAAGCTCATCGTGCTTAGTTCTATGCCCTGGAAGTCTGTTCTGAGGGCAAAAAAGTTGTGCGACTAAGCTCAACCTAGTACAAGCAAATGCCTTTTCATGTGCACATGAACATATGCTACATTTTTTTGTTTGTTTTGTGTTGAATATTGTTTTAATTTTAACTAACTTTTCAGACTCATTATTTCACACACATTAGGAAGACTCAGTTAATGATTTAAAACATTTGAGTAATCAAGTACAGCGCAACTTTAGAAGCAACCTAGACTTAAAATAGAAATAAAAAAAAATATGTCTCATAAAGAATAGCAAAATTAATTATCGCTTTTGTAGTAAGAGATTATCATGTTTCTTAAATGACAAAATGTGGATTACATATTATACTTTACTTTTTTGTTTGTACTTAAGCACAAAGCTACACAATGGGCTATCTGTGCTCTGCCAACCCGGTTTCTAGCAGCGTAAATCCTCATATATTGTTTGTTTGTTTTGGATTTCGCGCAAAGCTACATGATGGCTATCTGCGCTAGCTGTTCCTAAATTAGCAGTGTAATATTAGAGGGAAGTGCAGCTAGTCATCACCACCCACCGACAACTCTTGGGCTACTTTTTTACCAACGAATAGTGAGAATGACTGTCACATTACAACGCCCCCACGGCTGAAAGGGCGAGCATGTTTGGTAGGATAGGGATTCGAACCAGCGACCCTCAGATTGCGAGTCGAACGCCCTAACCACCTGGCCATGTCGGGCCACCACCTTAAGGACCAATACAGAAGAATTCTTTATAACAATTCTACATATTACAATAATAATAATGGTCGGAGAGTATTTAGATAGATATTTATCTGTTTGTTTATCGACTTGTCTTAGTAATATACTCCCTTTCTTGCAATTTGTAATACATAATTAATTTACCTTTTTCAAATATTATTGCAATATTTCTTGATTTCATCACGTTATTTAAACAATATATCATAATTATAATTAAATCACTAATGACAAAATGACTAAAGCTAAAATTTATAACAAAGAAGAAGGTTGAAGGAATGTATTACATGAACCAGAAATATATATATTACTTTGTTTGTTGTTAATCGCAAAGCCATACCATCTATTGAAATTCTATTAGCCTTTCAGACTTGTCCTCCGCTAGGATAGCAGTAAGTCTATAAATGCTACAAGAAAAACACGCACAAACACACCCTCAGGCTTCTCACTGAGTCATAGAAAGAGGGAGGGGAGAGAATTATTACCATTTAAGTTGTAAGACTGAAACTGCTAAACTTAAATGTATATAGATAAGAAAGTAAATAAAACGTTAATTTTCATATATATATATATATATTTATCTGTCAAATTGTGTGAGCCGAGCGCAGCCTAGTGGTTAGTGTGCCAGACAGTGAAATTTAAGTTCAGTGATTGCGTTCTTTTGCTGTTATGAGTGCGTTAAAAGGGTGATTGTCAAATTCTGTTATTCAGTTTAACAGCTGTAACCCAAGCTTTGGCACTGGGTGGTTTTCACCTTACAGTCTAGCACAGATCTAGCTTCCAGCATTCATGTAGCTATGCGCGAAATCAAACAAACAGACCAAATCGTGTTCAAACGTAGAAGCATCGCCCACGCTGTTCTGCCATGTGCGAAGGAGCGGCAGTAACTGAAGTATTTCAATTCCAGAGTAGCACCACGAGTAGCAAGAAATGGCTGTTCGAGGGGTAGGCCTACCAAGTGTTGGATTGGGTATACTTTTTCGCAGGATTGTTAATGTTTCGGATCCTATATTAGTAAGTACAACAAAGATGTAATCTTAATTTTTAATAGCTCTATAGCTGTTAGAAATAAAAGGATAAAAATTGTAAATCCACTAGAAAATGCATTTAAACTTAAATTAAAACGTCAAGTTAAATATTATTATAAAAAAAGTTAATCACTAAAAGTAAAACAATTTTTACATTACAATTACAGTAGTTAGAAGTTAACGTGAACTGATAAATTATTTATTTCATTTGAAGTTTCATACTGCTCATATGTATTTACTGAATTGTATGCGCAGAATAGGTAATTCAACTCACAACTAACAATATTGTAATCTACTAGTGAAATAACAATATACCGTATTTTTCGGTGTATAAGACGCACCCTTATTTTGAAGACAAAGTTGGG